AATGATGGTTCAAAGTTATGACGGCCTCGGAAAGGGTGCTTTATGACCCTTAAAGCACTTATGGCCGTCGTAAAATGTCATGCTGCCCCCCCCCCATGGTCATGTGGCCGCATTTCGGGTGCTTGGCAACTGGCTCACATTTAAGACCAGTTGCCACGATCCCACGATCATGTGATCACCATTTGCAATCTTCTCTAATGGCTTCCCAGAAAGTCAGTGCAGGGAAGGTTGCAAGTGGAGAGGATGGAGGGAAACTTCTCAGCAGTTCCTCCAGCCCCATGAAGGATTTCCCCTCCGTCTCCTCTCAGTGGTGTGCAGGAATGGAGCTCAAATCCTAAAGATTTGAGCTCTGTTCCCCAGCCCCATGAAGGATTTCCCCTCCACCTGCGGAGGGGAGGGGAAACCTCTCAGCAGCGTGCAGGAATGTTTGAGAGTGAAAGGGCCTGAAACCATCCAGCAGGCAGCTCTTTTGCAGAGCTGAAATCCTTCAGCAGACAGCTCTTTTGCTCTGTCTGCTTAACGACCCAGGCGATCACTTAATGACCACAACCAGGAGTGCCTGGATTGTAGTCATTGAGTGAAGCAGTCACGTGGACGTCTTGCTTAACAACTGCTTCACTCAACGATTGAGATTCCAGTCCCCATTATGGTCATTAAGTGAGGACTACCTGTAATATCTTAATCCATTTTATAAATGTCAAGGGAAATCCAAACTTATTTAATACAGCAAACATGTACTGTCTATATATTTTGTCAAAAGCTTTTTCTGCATCTAAAGATAAAATTACAAATTGGTCTTCACTTTTATTCAAATCTATTAAGTCTACGATAACCTCATGTTGTCAGCTGCTTGTTTAGTTTTTATAAACCCTGCTTGATCACCCTTAATAACAAACAGTATCACTTGCTGTAATCTGTTTGCTAGCACTGCTGCTAAGATCTTGTATCAACATTCATCAGAAACTGGACATTAATTAGCACACTGAGTATGATCTTTACCTGGTTTGGGTATCATTGCAATATTAGCCTGATTAAATGCCTCTGATAATATTCCTTTATTAAGTATTTCATCATACAATTACAAAATTTTTTTTTAAATCTCACCTTTACTATTTTTATAGATAAGGCAGCAAACGTATTTAATATTCTTTCCTCCTCCTATTTTCCCTACAACAACAACCCTGCAAGGTGACAGGCTGAGAGAGAGTGACTGGCCCACGGTCACCCAACTGGCTTTCATGCCTAAAGCAGGACTAGAACTCATAGTCTCCTGCTGTCTAGCCTGGTGCCTTAATCACTAGACCAAACTGACAGAGTTTTGGCACCAAAAGATCTATACATGTTTTATACCATTGAACAGGAAATCCATCCAATCCTGGTGTTTTATCACCTGCTATTTTTTAAATTATTTGTTAAATCTCTACCTCAGAGAGTGGAGCAATAAAAGTTGTTCTTGGGTATCATCTAGGTGTGGTACATTTATATTACCTAAGAAGGCCTCTCTATCCTCATTCAATATATTCTCTGGTTTGCTATATAATTCTGAATAAAATTTTAAAAATTGACAATTTACAGGGCATTCAGAAAGCATTCAGACCCCTTTGCAACAACACTTGAAATTTAGCTCAGCTGCTTTCCATTTCTCTTGATGGTTGCTGAGCTGTTTCTACACCTTGATTGGAGTCCACCTGTGCTAAATTAAATTGATTGGACATGATCTGGAAATCCACACACCTCTCTATAGAAGGCCTCACCACTGACAATGCATACTGTATCAGAGCAAAAGCCATGAGGTCAAAGGAACTGCCTGCAGAGCTCAG